TATATATAATAAATATATATTCTCTTTTTTCATGCTTTCTTTTTATTTTCTTCTTTTTTCTATCTTCATTTCCCTTTTTTCTTTTTCACACTTATCTTGCTATTTTTTCTTCTTCTTTTCTTTCTTTCCCTGAATGTATTTCTTATTATCTACATAAAAGCTATTAATAAAAATTATTTTTAAAAAAACCCAAATATAGAAGAATGTTTTCACAGAAAGCTCAAACGGAAGTCTGCCATTTTTTCGCTTTAGGGATAAGAAAGCACAGGATTCAGCCGATGCTGGAGCACGCTCCAAGATCTGGAGTTGTTTGCAAAGAGCAAGAAACAGCAGAAGAGAGGAACAAGCAAAAAATCCAGACATAGGATGGAATTCATGCAGAATCACCCTTTTATTCCTGGAACTTGTTTTAGTGGTCTCGGACAATTTATTTAGAACAGCATTTCTCTAGTTGGAAAAGAGAAAGAATTAAACAGTGAAGGAACAAGAAAGATGTAAACTACAGGGAAAGATTCTTCAGCAACCCAGGAAAATCTTAGCAGCTTTGGTACACAGGCCAGCCAGATCAAAGCAAACCCCACGCGATTTTTAGAAAAGGTTTATTTACCCGTGCAGAACTGCCCAAGCTGTCTTCATCAGATTCATGTCTCCGGTTGCAGTTAAGATGACCCTAAGTGAATGGAGGAAAAAAAAAAAGAACCATTTAATTCAGGTTTGGCTGAAGAGCATTTTAAAAGCTCCATTTTCTAAAAAAAAGTTTGTCCAGTGTCATGGAGAGACGAACTTCTTCTATGGTGAGGCGAGTTAAATACTTAAAAGAGCTACACAGAAGCTGTGAAGAATAAGCGCCTTTGCGTCCCTGTTTTTATGACAGGCACTCACAGCATTCAAAAATGCTCTTTTTTCTGGTATGGACTTTGTCCCATATTACTTCTTGTGCAGAAAGCAGTGGAAAGGAGATTTCTCGCCAACACAGTGTGGCATTACACCACTACAATTACAGAAAACACTCTACCATGTCATGGTAGCTGTGGGTCTGATCTCCCTCCTAGCAATCTCAGTTGAAAACAGTTAATCCAAGAGACAAGAACCTGAAAGCTCTGATTTATGGCATTTCTTAGAAGAAAAGTTAAACTTACAGCACAAGGATTCCACCAAGGGCCCTATTTTCAAATGAGACACCTGTATATAGGCAATTTAGGGCTCCTGTCTAAAGCGGGAGGGTCCTTCCTCCCAGTTTTTAATACACGGGGTTGGAAGCCGGCCTCTCTGGTGAAAGTGGGGCAGATGGCAACTGATCCTATTGGTGTAAGAAGTATCACAGGTTGGACAGTGAGGAGAGCCATTATTCTAAATATGGGTCCTGGGGGATCACGCATCTCCGTGGTTCTGTGATGGAATGGACTTATGAAGGCCAAGCTCAGGGAGATAAGCGTGTTCTTAGCCCCCAACAGGAGCATGGGGAGATTGATGTCAGGTTCAGCCCAAAGAACTCCACGAGACAATGCAATTACAGTTCTGTTGCGTTTATTAGCTTCCACCTCAAGAA